TGGAGGGAGGGGCGGGAGGGAGGGGAGAGGGAGGGCTGGTGAAAAAAGGGCAGGGAGGAATCGGAAGGAGGGCGGCGTCCTCAAGAGTACGTGTGCTTGAGTAGTAGTGGTGGTTGTGGTGTTAGTAGTGGGGACGTAGGGGCGGATTGGGTTCGTTGCTGTTGATGCTGTTGTCTCCACCCCATCCCCCGTCACCCCGTTTTGTGGTCCCGCAGGTTGAGAAGGCTCGGTCCTGGTTCAATCGGGCGGTGACCCTCAATCCCGACATTGGCGACCACTGGGCGCACTTCTACAAGTTCGAGTGCCAGTTCGGAACACCGGAACAGCAGGTACGTGTGTGCGTGTGTGTGTGTGTGTGTGTTGCGTATGTATGTATGACAAATGGTTGGATGAGTGTATGTGTGTGTGATAACATGCAATGTGTGATGCGCAGTGTTCGGATGTTTGTTATTCCGCCTCTCCCGTGTGCTCCTCGTGTCCGATGCATACAGACACAGACACACACGGACACGGAAGTTACAAACAGAAAACTGAACACACGGCGTCTACGTCTCCTCTGCAATCCTTCCTCCCTCGCCCCCCCCCCCGCACCCAACACTGCCTGGTCCCCCCTCGCACACAAAACACACTCCCAGGCGGACGTGTCATCCCGGTGTGCGGCTGCCGAGCCCCACCACGGGGAGCGCTGGTGCCGAGTGTCCAAGGACCCTCGTAACGCCCACCAGCCTGTGGAGGTGCTCCTGCGGAGGACCGTACAGGACCTGGACTCCCTGCCACCGCCCTGAGGGGGCTTTAGAGACAACATGTGGGCGTGTATGTCTGTATGTATGCATGCATGTGCAGTATGTGCTGCTGGGAGGCTGTACCTGGGGTGCATTGTTGGGATTATGTGGAGGGGGGGGGAAAGGGTGGTACAGTTGGCAGATGCGGCGGGATTGTGTGGAGGGGGGGGCGGAGGAGGGGGGCCCCCATAAAGGGGGAGTGCCCATTGTGGTGGATGTGGGGGGGGTTGCAGTAGTGAGAGGTGGCTGAAGAGGGAGGAGAGGAGGCAGGAACGAACGTGGAAATGGGGATAGTAAGCACGGCGGCAAAGGAGCAGGTGTTTGGCGCAGCAAAGGTCCGAATAACGATGGTGACAATGTGTTTGGATGAGGTGTCTGTGTTTATATGATGAATGTCCTAGGGGTTGTACTGTAGGGGAGGGGGGAGGGCTCAAGCGCCCCAGGGGGAGCGGCTGCGGCGAAAGAGGCTGCAGGTAGTGGGGCTTTGATCGTGTTGGAGTTCATGACATGCGGTGGTGCACCTGACGCCAACGGCAATAACACTCCTGCGCAATGTGTGTACGTGTGTGTGTGTGTGTGTGTGTGTGTGTGTTACATGGTCGTGGGGGTGCGTACCCCGTACCTGCAAATCGCCCTAATACGAGCCGAGGGCTCAAGGGCTGCCAGGTCGCTTATAAGCGTCCTACTTCTGACAAGCAAGGGATAAAGGGGACTAACGGCCAAAGGGAATGATAGTTTTGCTGTGGAACCAGATACGTTCCAGCATCCTCGCCAGACGTTTAGGTTCCCACTTCACAGCGTCCTTCGTATGCGATGATTTTACAACTGAATAAGAGCTGGTTAAGCTGGCGCGGGGGGCCGGAGCTGAGCTGCCACTTGCAGTGCTCGTTGTTGTGGTAATGCTGGTTGGGACGGACAGCACTCCTCAAGAGGCAAACAGCATAAGGGTGTATTTCCAGTGCGGATTAAGGCCAGGGATTAACCCTCTGTCCTCCATTGATACCTGCTCAAACGGCTAAGTTTTTGGCAAACTTACCTCGCGTTTTAAACCTTTGGTTCCTTTATGGAACAAAACTATGTGGTAAGCTCGTACCAAGGACTTCCGTGCCTAATCCCTGGCCTTCATCCGCACTGGAAATGCACCCTGACGTAGTCATCCGTTAAGTCGCCAGGTTTTCCAGCACCAGCAAAAGTCTTTAAAGTCAAGTTTTTCCCCCCTCGCCGTGTGCTATCTTCGCTGCCCTGCGGTTGGGGATGTGGCGGTTTTGGCTCTTGCGGGAGCCCTCTGGGCAGAGCAGGGGCTTAGGGTTGGGAAGGCTAGAAAAGCCCTTTATCTGGCGATTATAGCTGACATTGAGCTCCGGATGCACCCGGGCCGCAAATCTCCACCAACCCTGGGAATGTTATCCCCGACAGCGTTTGTAAGATACTGGGTAAGAGTGGGACCGGTTGCGCTTGCAAATGATCCCGGGAGCATGCATTGCCGGCATTGTGTTCTATGCGCTTTAACCTCATTGAAACAAGGGCGCCGTTCTGAGCCGATTGAAGTTAAACCACCAGGAACTGAAACAGGGCTACAGGAGAAAACAAGCCGCATCGTTATGCAACCTGGAAGTTCCTCTTCTGTGTTAAAGGAAATTCCTTACAAGTCTTGTTGTATGTGATGCAAGGACTGCTCGGCCGTTGGTGCAAGTACGGAATTGCCGTTTCGGAAGCGTGACGAGGCCAACGATACAACGGCTTCTTGACCCTCAGCCACTTAGAGGTTTTATATGAGTGTTTGGGAAATATGTGACTGTCAATTGCTACTCGTGACAAGAAAGTTTGCAGTTGCATACCGTGCTGTCGGTTGGCGATAGATTCAACACAATGGCCCAGCTTGTGCTCGTTCCAACTGCGGCAGCGGCCGCAAAGGCGTCAACTCCGCTTTTGCAGCAGCTGGCGAAATCGCTGGAGTCCGAAGGCCCAGCGCTGGCCAAGAGGATAAAGGTGAGTGTTCTAGACCACTGCCCATCCGAGGAAACTATGCAGCAAACGTGGTCTTACCATGTCGATGGTAATTCCTTGGCCTGTCAATTTTATAAATATATGCCTCGTTTATCGCGAGTTGCAGCAAGTAACTGCCATATTCGACACTAATCCGGTGTACATGTCTTTTTGCGCGATCCCATTATTTGCATTAAAATCGCGTATATGTGTGTTTTAAGTCACGTAATGGTGACTGTACACTTGCCTCTGAAGCTGGGCTGTTGAGGAGGAAAGCACACAGCAAATCGTAACACCCCCGGGCAAATGTCCCTTGCCCTAGGTCCTGTATCCTCACACCGCCATGGCCGTCACACCCACCACCAGCCGTTTGCAACCTCTCATGACCACGCCGTGCAACATAAAAACACTTGCACAAGCCACAAACATCATCCGCAGCCCGCTTTCGTCTCTCATTGATCTCTTCTCAATGCCTGCCCGCACCCTCTTAATCAGTATTTTTATGCCTTTGCCCACCCATGCACCCATTCATCACCCTCCACCATCAGGGACTTGTGTCCTTACCCCCGCCTCCCCTTACGCTCTTCCCCCCTTACAATTAATTCGCACGGACATGTGTCCTTACCTCCGCCCCCTTACAGAGTAAACCTGTCCTACACATTACTTGTTGTTACGCCACATGCCCGCATCTTGATACCCGAGTCTGTTGTGAAAGTTCCCCCCGCGGTGTGTAGGGATATCACTGCTGCTGTTGCCCCCGCAGTTGGTGCTGCGAGCATTGGGTGTCACTCCCTTACCTGATATGTACGCGTGTGTGTATTCCCGGGGGTTGTTACACACACACACACACCGCCTGATTCAACCCGCCAGGGTGTTGTGGTGTTCAAGATTGACGGGGAGGAGTGGACCTTGGATTTATCCGAGGGCACCGATGGCAAGCTGTACAAGGGCGCACCGGAGGGCGGGGACAAGCCCGATCTGACCCTCACCACATCGGACCACAACTTCACCCAACTCGTGATGGGGAAGCTCAATCCCCAACAGGTGGGCATGTGGGGGCATGTGGGGATGTGGGGGCATGTGGGGGCATGTGGGGATGTGGGGGCATGTGGGGGCATGTGGGGATGTGGGGGCATGTGGGGGCATGTGGGGATGTGGGGGCATGTGGGGATGTGGGGGCATGTGGGGGCATGTGGGGATGTGGGGGCATGTGGGGGCATGTGGGGGCATGTGGGGATGTGGGGGCATGTGGGTGCATGTGGGGGCATGTGGGGATGTGGGGGCATGTGGGTGCATGTGGGGATGTGGGGGCATGTGGGGGCATGTGGGGGCATGTGGGTGCATGTGGGTGGTTGTGTTGGGTTTCTGGGTGAGTGCTAGATGGATGGTACCTTTGTTGTGTCTTAGGGTTTTGGGGGCCGCCGCCGCTCGTGCTCCTGCTCCTCCCGTACAATCCATCCCACCGATTACTGGGTGGGGCCCGATGGGTCTATCTGTCTATCTGTCTCTCTGCCTGGAGACAACCGGGTGTTCTTGGGCGCAGTGTGCGTTTGTGACGTGTTCTAACAGCAGCAGCAGCAGTACTGTACTGTACTGTACTGTACTGTACTGTGGCCTCACAACAACGGATCATGCCGTGTGCTGTCCCTTAGGCTTCTTTCCTTTCCGTCCTACTTTTCGCCTCCATAGGCCTTTTTGATGCAAAAGCTAAAGATCAACGGCTCCATGGCCATGGCAATGAAGCTCCAACCCATCCTGGACGCGGCTCAGCCCAAGTCCAAGTTGTGAAGCGCATCAGCAAGGTGGAGCTGCGACATGATGATGTGGTGATGACGTGATAACAGCAGGACATAATGGCAGCGGTATTTGCCTCCGGGCGATGGTGCTGCTGCTGCCGCTGATGGTGATAAGGAAGAGGAGGAGGGGGGGAAGGGGGGGAGCTGTGACATCAGCCGTTGGGGGCCTCCAGGTGGTTTCGGCGCTCAGTGCAGTGATGCAGCTACTCGTGGTGATGAGCCCGGGACAGGGATTCCCTATCTGGCCCCCCTGTACTGGGGGTGGGGTGGGGTGGGGTGGGCCCCGGACGGACTGTTACGCACAGTGTTGAAGACCCCCGTGAGGTGTTTGGCGTTGGAGAGGCCCGAAATGGACTTTGCGACCGTTGAAGGGTTTTACGTGGGGCACACCTTATTGGTGTCTGAAGTGCGAATCGGGTTGTGTGTGTATGTGTTGGTGTATGTGTTGGTGTGCTTTTGCCTTCTCCGTCATTGTTTTAGTATTCCGGTCCGGGTTGCGCCCGGAGTGCATCACAACGTCCCCTCCCTACCACCCGTCCTGACTATTGAGGAGCTGTGGAGGGACGTTGTCGTGCAGGGACGTTGCGGATGTGTGTCTTTGTGGCGGAGTGCGAGTGCGTGTTTGTTTGTGGTGACCCCCGTGTGGTGCTATACTGATGGTGGTGGGACGGATGCCTAGGGACTGGTGCGTACAGAAATGTTTTGCGTTTCGCATTGTCGGTTTTTTCCAGGTGTTGCCGGTTTCACCGTCTTTATCGTTGCGCGGGGCGGGTGGGTGTTTAAAGTGAGTACTTGTGCTAATGCGGTTTTGTTGGAATGCGGCGGAGGCTTGCGCGAGCCACGTGGTGGTTTGGTTTGGTTTGGTTTGGACCTCTGCATTGAAATTTGAGATGATGTCGAGCTCACGGGTCTGTAGCGATGTAATGTTAAGAACGAGGTTGCCTGTTGTCGAGGGTGCCGTACCCGTCTTGCAAACCTACAAGATGCCGTTACGAGGGAGAGCATAACCCCATAACCATGATGTGCAAAGGAGTGCACTCCAAAGCAAATACCCTCGTCCACGCACAGAAACACACACTCACACATAGGGACCACTCAACTTTCCCTCCCCCCACTCCTCCCAGCATATCAGTCTGCAAGCCCCTTTCTCTCCTCTCCTCTCCTTCCTGGCCGCGCTGCTGCAGCTGCTGCTGATGGCATCCACTAAGTCCCAGGAATAAAATATAAATGTAGGTATGTATGTACGTATGTATCAGCTCCTGGTGCGTCCGAATAGATCCTAGGGAGGGAGGGCTCCCCTCTGCGCCACCAATGAACCACCATGAACACCTGCACCCCCTAAGGGGCCCCTTCTGCGGCCACAACCCGACCCCTGCTGCTGCGGCGGGGTGGTGGGGTGGGTGGGTGGGTGTGCTCTCGTCAGTCCTCTCCCGACCCGTTGTGATGTGCCGGTACGGGGGAGGGTACTGGGTCTGTTGCGACATCATGTGCACGATGTTGCGAAAAGGCTGAGGAGGAGGGTATATGGAGGGGGGAGGAGGTGGTAAAGAACGACACCAGGGGAGCCCCCCCCCGCTGCGAGGGGGGTCGGGGGTCGACTGCCCTCGTCACCGAAACCACACACACCACACCTCTCCGGGCCCCCCGAGGGGGTCGTACTGCGCTTCTCAATACCTCGTCCCGCCCACTTCCCGTACGGCACAAAGCGCCTCTGCAACACCCAAAGCATGATGAATGGTCAACCCCATGGACCCCTCCCGTCGAACCATCATCCCCTTTGCACAGCCATGGCCACTATCGGAGGGCATTCATTCATTAGGCGTCCCCCACCCGTACCCCCCACCCGTACCCCCCACCCGTACTCCCCGACAAATCGGGTTAACAAATTTGTTCCTCTTCATGAGCTCATCTTCATGTGCCCTCTTTGTGTGAGAGTGACAAGGCTCTCCCCGCGTGTGCGCGCGCGCCACCTAGCCATTCTAACCCATAAACCAATTTCGTGTCGTACGATGCTCCGAAGTACAAAATCACATATAACGGTCCTGATGTGTCTGCCGGCAGCGCAGCCGAGGAGCGCCCCGACGTGTTCACCTGGCTAGTAGGCTATGCAAGTGGTTCATTGCTTACATACACATACGTACATACATACATACACACATGTAAACAGTTCTAGACATACACGTGTCTGTAATTAAATATCTCGATGCCGCCGGGGACTAGACCTGACAGCCACGTAAAGCATCCCTGGCCCCCACGTACATACACACATACTTTTTCCCGAATGTCATTGCGGAAATCGTACGGTTGTCTGTCTATATGTATGTAACCCATTCCAATGGAAGTGGGGGAGGTGGGCTCCTAGCTGCCGCCGACCTGGTAGTGGGGTTAAAGAGGGGGGGGGTCGGGATTAGGTCGTGGGGTCAGGGGTATGTGGGGAGACGGGAGAGACCGGAGGGGGTGGAAATCCCAAAACACACACACACACACACACACGGAAGTACGGGTGAGCGGTGGTGGTGCTGTAACATCCCCCCACACTTGTACACCCCCCGGCACACATGCTCGCTGATTGGGGGGGAACGGGGGGAGGAGGCCCTCCCCGGGGAGGCTCCCTAGGGTTGTTCAGGGCCCCTCGGATACCCCTTTGGCTGGTTGGTTGGCGTCCGTTGCCTACTTGTACGGCATAGGTGCAACGGAGTACGTGGCCGTCAGTGTACGACCCCTTCCCCCCGCCCGTCCCCCTTAAGCGCCAGTCACTGACACCACATACAGACATGTACATACATACAGACATACCTGCAGCATGTCCATGAGTTGCTGCAGTCGCGCGGTCTGCCCCGCACTGAGTGGCAGCGAGCTCAGCAGCGCTCTCCGCCCGGGACTGGACACGCACGTCAGCTGCAGCTCCTCCGGCATACGGCAGCCGAAGAACAGCATGGCCAGCTCGCGCTGCAGCCGGGCGACGGTGGCGGCCGCCTCGTCGGGGGCATCGGGAGCCGCCACCTCAACCTGCGCGACCAGGCGCGTGTGCGTTCGTATGTATGTACGTACGTATATGTACGTATGTCGATGCGAATGAGGAATGGGTGTATGTATGTTTGTGAGTGCGCGGCAGGGGGGACAAAACGGATCTGTGTGCTAGCTGTAGTCGTGTGCTGGCGGGGGGTGGGCGCAGGGGGTCCATGTAAACCTTGCAAGACAACCAGGCAGGGGAGAGCAGGGAATTGCCTCGGGAAGGAGGCCACTGGTGAAGCTTAACCACCCTGTAACAACATCAACCAGTTTAAATGAGCTATCGGGTATACTGTTTGTGCGACTATGCCGATAGATATTGACTTCAACACCGCTCCATCCACCCCCCCCCCGCACCTCACAAACCACCAACCACCAGAAGACCAACCGCCTCGAGGTCTCATTTCAAAACGCCTCTACCCCCAACCCCAACCCCCCGCACCCCCCACCCCACCCCCCCACCCAGCCCCACCCCCACCCCACCCCACCCCACCCACCCCACCCTACCCCGCCCCACCCCCCTGGACACCTGCGCCTCCATCAGCTGCTGCTCCACTGAGAAGAACAGCTCGATCAGCTTCACCTCGTCAAGGTGCTGCTCCCGCATGGGGGTGGGGGGAATGGCGGGGGGAAGAAGACGAAATGTGGCGTGGGGTTGGAATTGGGGGGGAGAGGGCACGGGCAGGATACAGGCAGGTAGGTAGGCAGGGGAAACACATCTTTGCTTAAGAAATAATCTCCGTTGCTGAGCGACCCCGTGTACCCCCGGGGGAGGGAGACCCCACCTTCCCCATCTCCCTACGTGTGCGCGTGTGTGTTTTAAGGACGGGGGAGAAACTTTGGTGTCCTCCCGCCCTGCCTCCCTGTCTTTGCCTCCTTTCACCTACCCGCCAAATTCCAAACGCCGACGTACGACACTACGACACCTTCGCAACCACATGGAGGGGTCTCATTCCTCGGGTGCGAGTGCGGCGCAGCGCGGAAAGACATACACACGGACGCATGCACACCGGGTCGCAAACACAACATGCCCGCACATACACATAAGTACACATTTACATATAAACATACACATACATACATACATACATATGCAATAACGTACCTGCGCGGCGCTGGTGAACCAGGACGCGATGCCGCCCTCCTCTCCCTCCTCCCCCTCCTCCTCACCACCACCACCACCGCCCTTGCGTCCTTTGCCCCCCTGCTTGCCGCCACCACCAGCGGCCCCCTCCCCCTCCCCCCCCGCCGCCGCCGCCGCCACCTTCGTGAGCCCACTTGCCGCCGGGTCCGACCAGTCCGGCGCTATGAGGTGAGCCACGTGGCGGCGCCGGGACGCGAACCAGGCCGCGAAGTTGAGGCAGGAGGTGAAGCGGGCGTACAGCTCCACAGCTGCTGAAGGACTGCCCACCCTGCGTGTGTATGTATGTATGTACGTCAGTAAGCAAGTAAGTATGTATGTATGTGTATCCACGTCCACCAGGTCCGTGTGTATCATGGCGAGCGAGCCGGGGGGGATCCGGACCCCCCGGGGGCACCAGCTGGCGCCCGGGGGGCTAAGTGCCCCAGCCAACTTCTCCCCGCACCCATCGCCGCCTCGCCACCCCTACCACGTATAAAAACCCGCCAAACACCTTCAAACAGCTGTCTCAGGCCCCTAACCCCCCACAGGGCTCCCTCAACCCCAACCCCCATACCCCCCTACTCCCTACCCCCTACCCCCCTACCCCCTACCCCC